AAATAGTTATATAAATAATAAAAATCCTTAAAATCTATTAAATTAATAAAAATAATAACCTAGCTAACGCTTTATAAAAACTATACTTAATAAGGGTTAAAATAATTCGTTAATAAAAGAAAATAACTATATAAATAAAAATAAGTTATATAAAAAATAAAAAAAAGAAAAAGAGGTAGATCTAATAAGCTAATTAAAGATCAAATTATATTTCTAATTATTATTATTAAATAATAAAAAAAGTAATATTAGATTAGAAGTTTAATTTAATTTTATAATAGTATAGCTACTATTATTAATTATATAATTAATTATTATAGCTTATTTAACTTATAGTTAGAATCTCTTTTATATATATATAATAGAATTATATAGTTAATTAACTTATTACTATGTTAACCTACGGTTCGAACTAATTAATTAATATCCTTGTGATAGGGATATTAATATTATTTACGTAGAGATAACCGACTCCGTACTATGCATTTGAAAGCAGATTCTAGTAGTCATTCTTTTATTTCTATGCTAACTATGTTCCTTTGATAGAATTTGATAGTGAAGCATCCTTATACATCTATCACCTGGGCATGCACCGCGGGACGTGACCAAAGGTCCGCTACACGAAACTGTTTGCACACATGTATTAAGTCAAACCCCCCACTTCCCGGCACCCCCCTGTTTCTGGCACCCACAAAAACGCGAAAATCCACCACAACGCAATGCCCACCCCAACCTCCTTTTATCACAACATTTTCAATTCAGTCCAAATGGGCTCTTTTTGCACATACCTTCTTCTATATCTAATGCCTCAATATAAGATCAGCTTCGTCAGGCTCTCGAGGACATCTCAAACGGCAAGAGTCGAGCCTCATTGGTATGGGATACCACGATCAACCCTCCAACTACGTCTCCAAGGTGGTCAGACTAGGAAAGTGGCTTTTGCTGACTGGCAGAGGCTGTCTCCTGACCAGAGAGTAAGCTGGCACAATGGGTTCGCATTCAGGCTTCGCTGGGCCTCGCACCAACGCACCAACAGGTGAAGGAATTCGCAGAGCGAGTTCTGGCTGCTGCTGGGGATACCAAACCATTAGGAAAAGGCTGGATCTATGCCTTCGTGAGAAGGAACCCTATCATTAAGGTTCAGAGAAGTCGTTCCATCGATTCTAGACGCGTTAATGGGGCATCTACTGAGGTCATTAGGAACTGGTTTAAGTTCCTTGCTATCCCTGAGATCAAGGACATCAAACCAGCCAACAGATATAATATGGATGAGACTGGCATCCTCGAGGGTCAGGGAGCTAATGGGTTAGTGCTGGGCATGGCTGAGACGACGTCTGTTCGCAAGAAACAACCTGGGTCGAGGGCATGGGTCTCTATCATTGAGTGTATCTCAGCCTTGGGTAGGGCACTTCGTCCTCTTATCATTTTCAAGGAAGACGGTCCAACAACAGTGGTTTCCATTACATCTGGTTCCATACGATGGGTGGGAGTTTACAGCAACAGATAATGGCTGGACTACAGACTTAACTGCCATTGAATGGTTAGAGAAGGTGTTTATCCCACAGACTATGCCCGAGGCTGAGGGCGAGGCTCGACTGTTGATTGTGGATGGGCATGGGAGTCATACGACGACAGACTTCATGTGGAATTGCTATATTAACAACAATATCCATTTACTGTTCTTACCACCACACTCCTCTCATGTCCTCCAGCCACTTGACCAGTCTGTCTTCAGCCCTGTTAAGTCAGCCTATCGGAAGGAGCTCGGTTACTTGTCTCAATGGAACGACTCTACCATTATAGGTAAAAGGAACTCCTGGACTGCAGAAGGCTCGACTTGCTGGTCTATCAGTCTCGAACATCAGAAGTGGTTGGAAGTGGACTGGTCTACACCCTGTAGCGATGGTTAAGCCCCTGATGAACCCTATGGTATTACCTGAGCCTTCTGCTGCCCACCACACCCAAACCAACCAGTCGGGGCAAAAAGCGATGCCATAATGGTCAACAAACTACCCCTGTTGAGCCATGGGATTCTGCTTCCTCTGCAGTGGTCTGGTCGACACCCAGGAAGCTGGCAGAGCTCAGCGGTCAACTGCACTTATACACCCAACTCGACAATGATACCAGCACTCAACGGCTGCTGTTCAGGAAGGTGAAAAAAGGCTTCACAGAGCAGGCCTGGCAACTGGCAGCTGCCCAGCAGCAGCTGGCTCACCTGAGGGCCTCACCAACGCTGCAGTTAGGAAGAGGAAGACTGTTCAGATCGATCCCAACACGAAGTTTGCGAACATCAGGGATATCCATCGGGCTCAAATCGAAGCGGGTGAAAAGGAGGTTATTACGGCTGAATCCAGCGACTCTGAATGCCCTAGTGAGGCTGGCAGTTGTATTGTAGTGGGTGTGGTTGAGGATCAATAGTTAATAGTAATGAGGAGGTTGGGTTGTGATCCCATCGTTTTTGTGGGTGCCAGAAACAGGGGGGTGCCAGGAAGTGGGGGGTTTGACTTATGTTCCCTGGCTGCATTCCAGCAACATCGTCATTGGCTGACGTCGCTTAGGTGGAAATGGCTTACGAAGCCTGCATCGCCCCGGCATAGATTTAACATGGCGTCAAATGAAGTGTAAAGCTCGATCCACTTAATGGCAAGTATTCATGGCGGCTTTTGAATTGCTCGTGCAGTATCACTTGCTAGAGCCACAGACCTGTTTTTCGAAGTCTTCTGGAAGGTAGTTGGAGCTCCGTTTCTGGACTGGGACTTTAAACAGATGGGCAGGCGGGGGCAATGGAGGTGTGGGGGTAGAGGCACTGGGGGAACACAGCTGAGGCTGCTCTGCGTGGCGCTAAAATACCGTGGCCGGTGCTTGGAGGGAGTTTGGCGACTCCATCCCATTATTGCAACGAAGTACACTGAAGAAACTCCTGATTAACAACTCTTCATCTGAAGCTAACTTGCAGTCGTGCGGACTGATACCTCAAGAACTTCTATCGTAGTTGGCTGTCCAACAGTAATTACACCAAACAAAGGCCAGTTCTAAGATGTTTCCAAGTCAGCGCACGTTTTTGAAATTGAAAGACCTAACTCGCAAGGACTTTTCCTTCCAAATCGAGAAGACGTCCATGTAACGCAAGGGCATAGGCTGGCAACCATCTAAGGCACGCAGTCTAGGCCGCTTGTGTGGCATGGCAGATCGTCAAAATGCTCTAACCAGAAGTTGGCGTTTCCGGCCTCAAGAACCTAATCCTGACTTCACCGAAGTGCAGCACCTAGCGACCCTTCACTTTCTGGATGAGCATTCCTGCAGGGTGCCCAATATAATGGCGAGAAATCCTAGCCAATCGTCACAATGCGGTTTCCGAGCCCATAGAGTCAGAGGAGATGTGTTTTCGCACTGAACCCAACAAGACAAGATCCCCAAACCCAAACATACAAGCGCCTGAATGGTCATTTCTCAACGCCACGATACAGTCTTTGGTCCCAAAGCTTCGGTATGACAATATCGAATCAAGACGAGCGATCTTGAAATCCAGCTTGTGCGCAAGTATTATTTTCTGGCGATACGCCACGGGATCATCATCTCCACTCGCTAACAGGCTATCCGCGCCAATCTCACATTGGTGTCGTATGTCCCCTTTTCCATAAGTAATTGGCTTCCTGCCGTGATACCGCAATATTCTACTACAGCGTAGCCAGCCCACTTCAAACCACGACAAAAATGAAGAAATCACAGCTATACGAACTACTTTACCTCTCTCTCAGCATCTTCTTTGGTAACGTCCTTGGACAGGATGATCTTGGCACAATGAACGGCTTTGTGGATGTCGAGAGAGCGAACTTCAGGGCTTGATTCGTGCGGGACGCTCAGGTTTTGGCATGTTTAAAACCCATTGGAGACGATTTTGACTTTCTTCCTTTTGACGTTTTGGGGAACCGAGCCCGTGATGGACAATACCATTGGGGCGATTTTACCTATCGATATCGCGCTCAAGGCGACAATACTTAGATTGATGGGGACTCTTCTCAGCAGCGCAAGCCTATCATTGCTCTATCTCATAGCAATGATGTCCTTGTCGCTGCGGATCTGTCGTCCACGCTTCCTTCTGGACCTCTAAAGGTGACTCGAGAATGGCTCAACCTCGACGGCTATCTCGCGCTACGGTTCAACTTGAGTAATGCCGGCAATTCCACCATTGAGATTGGCAGTCTTGGCTTCCCTGCCAAGTTCAACAGCACTTTTACGCATCATCATCCTGCAGACGCCATGGTCGCCTGTTCTCTTTCTGAGCCGTACATCGGCATGGATTCTGGCCAAATTCGTGTCACCCCTATCAAAGGCAAAGGATCAGCCTTAGTTGTCACAGCCCTCATTGGCACTAACTAACCCATGGAAGCTTACCGCAATCTTTTAGAATCGGGTTACGAAGGATCCTGATATGGTAGTCAGACGTTTGAAGGGTTCTACGAATGGCAAGTCCCCAAGAAAGCATGGGCAGAGAACGAGTGGGCTGTTCAGAATGCACATTCTTGGAATCCACCTTCTTCGCAAACGCTGAGCCCTGGTTCAACTCTTTAATTCGGCGTAAGGCTCAGTGTTGTTCCTGAAGGTGTGCGGGGATTTGACAAGGCTGTCCGGAAGACTAGTCACCCCACAGCCGTCAGCATCCCGGGCTACATTCTTCCTAGGAACCTGCCAGGAAGTTTGTTCCTTCAGTCCGATTCTCCCGTTGCCAATATCTCTGTTGACCCTCAAGGATCGCTGTCTGTGACCCTGACGGGAAACGCTACTTACACCTTGACGCCTAGAGAGTCTGCCAGGGGTAGAGCGCGAGTCACTGTGGCGTACAGCGATGGAGAAGTTCAGACGATTCATTACTATATCACGAAGTCCGCTCCTGAAACTTATCAGGCCATGAGGCATTTCCTCACGACTGAAGCACACTTTACCCATGAGTCTGATCCTTTGGTCGTGCGCCCTAAATGATAACCTACGATTGCCAAAGCATGTCGACGGTGACACAAGATCCCAGAGCCTGGGTACCCGGACTTAGCGACGAGGGTGAAGCTGGAGCTTACGTCGCGGCCACCGTCAAGCAAGCTATTTACCCTGACGCCGATGAAGCACGGATTCTTGACGCCTTTGTGGATAATGTAGTCTGGGGGAATATCCAACACGACGACTACGCCGTGCGAAACATTCTCTTCTTCTACGAGCCAGCCGAGGTCCCAGAATTCACGTACGAAGAGTTTGACTGGACCTCGTGGTCATCCTGGAACAAAGGCCGGTCATACGCGGCCGACAGAGCCTACAACTATGTTCACCCCTCGGCGGCATACCGGTCCCTTTACAGAGTTGGACTAGCCTATCCGGGGCTGGTCAGCCAAGACTAGACCTGATATTTCGAAAAAGCCTACCGGACGGCGCTCCGCATCTCAGGTGGCGGTGTTGCGTGGGTGGAGATGGGCTTGATGGGAGAGACCGTATGGAGCGTCATCATGACTGATCTACTCTGTGAAGGGTTCAACAATCAAGCAGCCACTCTGGAAGTACTTATGAAGTCTCGCGCCGAGCACTGGGACTCTGTTGACGCCCCATCTGGGAGTGAAATGGCCTGGGACTCCACTGCCCAAGAGGGCGTCTACCAATGGGCGAGGTAAGATTGTAAAATCCTACCCTAAACACGTATGGCTCTGGCCCAACTAATAGTTGTCCTGCAGACATTTTGGTTTTCAAACATCAATGAATCCGGTTGTCCCAGCGCCGGTTTCCATTCGTTCCCCGACACCTTGCAATAGGACGGCTTCACTGCCGACTACGGCCCGGGAGTTCCTGGAATGGCCCTTAGCTCTGGAACATATGTGGCCGACGATGAGCAAGTTAGTCTCGTTGCTTATGGCGGAGAGATTTCAATCGATGGATCGAACGTTATGGTTGAACCTCGCGACCCTGTCAGGAAGAGAGTCTTCATCGGCCCCCTGGCAGTCTCGATCACGGTTGACGTAGGGGTCATTCAGCGATTCTTTTATAATATTAATACCAAGTCCATCTTTATGACATTGTCTTAGCTTGTAGACGCTCCAAAGGCTATGAACGCTATTGTCTGGACAGATTCGGTACAGGTATTTTGGGAGGTCAGTAGTAATAACTTTGAGGTCGCCCGTGGTGGATGGAAAGTTCCTATGGATTAAGAAAGAGTTAATATTACGCCGTCTCTGAAGTCAGCGTAAGCTAGGCGAATTGGTTCGCTTCAAAGTTTCTGTTCTCTGCCTGAGGCTTTCGCATCTCTATAGTTGCAATTAGCTATAGCGATCAAATTGAGCACGGCACCTTCAAATTGAAGTATTTGCATCATACTGGTCGTTGCAGTTTCTTGTGAGTTGCTTCTTGAGGGCTTGATAATAACGCGAGTCTATTTTCAGAGCTATGGCTTTCGTAAGTGTTAATTATGTTACAGACTCAATGTCCTGGTTGTTCCTCGAATAAAAAGGGTGTTTGAAAGTAAAGCCAAGGTTTAAGTATTTCCTCTTCGTTCTTTTAGTGAAGTTTTAATAATATAGAATATGTTAAAACTACCGAGGGGTATGTCGCTACTCTAAAGACGGATTTAAAGCTTTTTTTTTCGTTTTTAGCAATAGTTATATGTGCTTAGTTTTAAATAGGAGAATAGTAGGGTTATGTATATAGTGCTAGATATTTACGGGATATCCGATATACTCTTGACTCTTGATTTTGTATAGTTTGAGATTAGATATTAGAGTATAGATATTACGACCTAACACGTATAATAAGGCTAGGGCCTGCCCCACAGGACCTATAGTAGCTACTATACTATATATATAAAAATACGAACTTAAAATAACTCCTCTTAAAATAGAAAAACTATAAATAAATTACGTAATTACAATTATATAATAAAATAAAGAACGGACGCTTATAAAAAATAGAACGGACGATTATATATAAATAAAATAAATAATTATATAATAAATAGTTAAATAATTATAAATCATAGTATTATAAAAATATATTTAAAAATAAGACTTATATATAATATAAACTTAAGCTAAGTCTAAAAATAGACTTTTATAACTTCTTTAATAATTAACTTAATATTAAATTTTATAATCGTTTTTAACTATTTTTATTAAAAACCTTTTAAATAAGATTATAATTAATTACTAAATTTTTATTTATTTTATGATTTATAAATATAGTTTTAAAAAGTTATTTATAATTATAATACTATTTACTTAGTATTTATAACCTTAACTTTTATTAATATATTTATTATAACTAACTAATTATAATATTTTAATTATTCTTATTTAATAAGTTTATTTTATGATAAATTAACTAAATAATATAAATATATTAATTAGTAATAATAATAATACTATATAACCTATTTAAATAGTTATACTTATTATATAATAACTATATAATATAATATTTAAATTTAAAAATAAAAATAAATAACTCTATATTTAGCTCTTAGTACCTTAACTTTTTAATACTTAAAACTAAGTACCCTAAATTAGAATTTTATAATAAATTTCTAAATATATTTTAAAATTCTTTACTTAAACTAGGGCCTACTTATATTATTATAATTTTTTTATTATTAAAATAAATAAAATTTATTATATAATATTTTTTTAAAAAATACCCTCGCTTAGTTCGAACCTTTTATAAAAACTTATTTTAAAAATAAGTATAAAATATAAAAGTAAATATTAAAAAGATTTTTAATAATTATAATAAATTTAAAAAAACTTAAAGAAAACTTTTAATAACTTTAATAAAAATAAATTACTAAACGAAGATTTATAAACCTTATTTAAAAGGATTAGTTAGTAAATATACTTTAGAATTTTAATAAATTATTTTTAAACTTAATTAGGGTAATAAAATATTTATAATAGCTTTTATTATAGCTTAAGAGAAGAAGTTAAGGACGAACTCTTTTATTATAACTAACTAAATAAACTTTATAATTATATTAATATAATTATTAAGATTAATAATAAACTTTATAAATAACGCTTTAAATATAAAAATGAAATATATAAAATAATTAACTTAAGCTTAATAATAAATATAAATATAAACCTATAACTATTATTATTAATTATTATAGCGGACCTATAAACCTAGATATTATTAAGAAAATAACCTTATTAAAAAAATTTAAATATTATAATTATAATAAACTAAGATATATAGCTAAAGATTATTAATAACCTAAACGTATTTAATACTAATTTATTTTAAAAAATAAGTTAATATTATAAATAAAGAAGTCCCTATAAATAACTTTTATAAATAACTTATTATAATAATAATTACTTTATTTATTAAAATAATAAAAAAATAGGATAGTACCTAAAAGCCTAAGAATAATAAATAATTTAAATATAATATTACTCTATTATTTATAATAATAACTTAAAAAAAGAATACTTACTTATTAACTACTTATTTTTAAAAATAATAATATTAAATATATCACTATATTTTTAGATTTATTAAAATATAAAAAAACTAAAACGGACCCTATTATAAATAATACTTTATTTTTTAAAAACGAATTATATAAAAGCTCTAAATAAGTATAAAAATAATTCTTTAAATTTAAAAGAGGACCTGATATAAAACAAATTATAAATAATTTTATTTATATAGCTTAATAAAATAATAAAAATAATTTTTATAAAAAAGGACCTTAATTAAATAAAATCCTAATTAAATTTATTTATATAATATAATAAAATAATAAGAATAAAAGCTTATTTATAAAGTTAAAAATAACTTAAGGACCTTAAATACGAAAATAAGATTAAAATAATTAAAAACTTAATTTTAATTTTAAAATTAAAAATAAAAATAAACTTTTAATTTAAAAAAATAAACTTAAAATAAGTTTTAATAACCCTATTATTAATAAAGAATTATTTTATAACTTAAATAAATTTTATAATATTACTTAATAACGTATTTAAATAAAAATTAATTATAAATTCTATTTTAATATAAATAATATTAATTTTAAAAAGGATTTTAAAACATTATAATATAAAAATATTAACTTATATAAAAATACTTAAATAATATAATTTTATAAAACTAAACGATTTAAAAAGTACTTATAATATTACTAATTAAGAGAAATAGTTCTTTATTTAATATTAAAAACGTATTTTATAAAGAACTATTTTAAGTAAAATACCTTAATAATAAGTATTTTTAATATCTCTTATTTAAAAAAATAATAAGTTTTATTTATAAAAACGTAATAATTAATTTATTAAAAACGTTTATATTAATAATTAATTATTAAACTAAATATTTATATACTTCAATAAAATTAATATAATAATTTTTAAACTTAACTTATATTTTCTTATATAATATTAAAATAGTTATTATATAGAATAGGACGAATATAAATATAATTATTATTAAATTTATTATATTTTTAAATTACGAACTTAGAGGAAATAAAAAAATAAATTAAATAAAAGAATAATTAAGAAATAGATTTTTAAAAACTAAAAAGCTAATTATAAAAATAATAAAAATAAAAATTAAAAATAAGTTCTTATATATAATTAAATAATATAATAATATATATTTATAAATTAAATTTAAAATATACGGATATAGATTACGTATTATAATTAATAATAATATATAAAAAGCTTTATATTATTAAAAATAATAAATAAGCTCGACTTATTATAAATATAAAAGAATAACTTATATTAATTATAAATAGTAGAAAAAGAGTTAATTATAATACCGGATATATTAATTAAAAACTATATACCTCTTAATATATATTAATAATTAATAAAAATAACTCTAATATAATATTATAAAAATTAAAAACTTCGATATTATCCTCAGAATTTCGTAATTATAAAAGTATAACTTATAAATAAATTAAACTACTAACTAGGTCTTATAAGAAAATCTAATTACTAAACGACTTAAAAAAAAAGAGTTTAAATAGATTTATAATAATACTTAAAAATAAAAATAAATATAATATATAATTTTTATTAAAATAATAAAAAGCTATAGGGCGTTTATATATAATAATAACGATCGGGGATTATAATAATTCTAAACTATACTTAAAAGTATATATATTTAAAATTATTTATAAAACTTAAAAATAGAATTATTAAATTTATAATAATTAAAATATAAAGATCGAACTTAAAAAAGAATATAGCCTAAGTTCTTCTTTATATATTTTATAAATTAAAAAATAAAATTATTCTGATAAATATATTAATAAAAAGTTTATAAAAGGATATATTTAATTTTTAAATTTTTATAATATTACCCTTATTTTTATATTAAAAAAAGTAAAAAATAAAAACTTATTATTAATTATAAAAACTTAATAAAATTATAAAAAGAATTATTACCCTTATTACTTATTACTAAGCTTAGAAATTTATTTTATAAAACTAATTAATTTATTATAATAGATTTTAAAAAGTATTTAATTAAATTCGAATTAAAAAAAGATAAATAAAAATAGTATTTTAAATTTATAAAAACTTTTAAATATTTTATTATACTTTTAAACTTATTAATACTTTAATAACTTTTAAATAATAATTAATTACGTACTCTAGGAGTTCGTTAATATTTTTATTATTATTTATATAGTGGTTTTTTCTAGCTTTATAAGTATAAAAATTAACCTTAAGGATTATTTAAAAGAAATTATATAATATAATATATTTTTAATTATATAATATACGTAATATACCCTAAGTATGCGCTTAATATAATATAATAATTTCGATATAAAACCGCTATTTAATTTAGGATAAATAAACTATACTTTTATTTTACGTAATAATACTAATTAAAAGGTTAATAATAAAAGTTAGCTATAAAAGTTAGAAGTAGCCTTCCTAACTATAGAAGTTCTAAACTTTAATAATAATATAAAAGTTTTTAAAAAAGGGCTAAAAGGGCTAATATTTATTACTCTTTTACTATACTAAAGCTTATAAAAATTCTTTTATCCTTATTACTTCTAATATTACTTAAAGCTACTCTCTATTTAAACTAAATAAATTTACTAAACAAACCTACTAAATAAACCTATTAATATATATAAACTACTACTTTAATAAAAACTTATTCTACTAAAAATACTCCTTAA